CGAAAATATGCCTAGGTGCAAAAAGAACTTAGTTTCAGGTATGTTTTATTATTATAAGTATTTTGTTGAACACCATTTACAGTGGAGTAACCAGACTGTTAAGTAGGGCAGGGGAGTAACCAGACTGTTAGGGCAGGAGACGCTACTCAACTAAAGTAAAGAGTGAGGAGAGTGGTTCCTCCACGGTCCCCATCTGGTTATGCCACTTGTTAAATACTATTTATAGCGTACAGCCAACGAACCAGACGTCACACAACGACGAGTTTAAAATATAAGTACCTTCTACGTATCAAATATAAAAAAAATTAATAGGCAAGGCATTAGACAAAAAATAATTAGATCAATCCCAAAGTAATAATTTGATATAATATATAGAATGTAGGTTCTAAACGAAATGTCCAAATAGTAACTAAACTAACGAGTCCAAAGTTCGAAAGTAACGAGTCCTTACAAGTCCTAAAAAGTAACGAAACTTTGCATCACTAACTAATATCGAACAGCAGTTATTGACAATGATGCCACGGACCAGTAAAAAATTATGGTACGATGTTGCCAAAATGATCAATTTTTCTTCAAAATTAGACCAAATAAATTCTAGATAATTAATATAAGTTCTTAAATGTAACCATCTCATAAAAAATGGAACATTTGGAAAAATCAAACAAACTCTCGTAGAAGACTATAGGATACAACAATAAAATATAAAAAAAATATTCGTTTTCAAATTGAATATCAACAGTTTGAATGTCATCTTCGGTGACATGTTTATAGGAAGTTATTCTATTGATGATTTTTTGAGTGCCTAACATTAAAATTATAACTTTAACCATTTACACTTTGAGCTGCCAATAAAAGTGAAGTTACTGTATCACTATACAAGCGATTTCTGACATGCTTTGATTAAATTTACTTTTGAAAATATCCTTCTACATGCAGCATTTGATTGTGGAATTACTAACAAATCTAATACAAAATTTCCCGATTCTTTAAATACATAAACATCAGATATTTCGTGAATTTGGGAGATTTTGTATCAGTATATATCGATTGATGCAATACAGCCGCCACTGATTATCAATTTTTTATATGTTGAACATCCTGTGGATCTATAATTCTGGGCAATAACTTAAATAATCGAAAAATTGATGCTGGTTTTGGTTTTTTTATATTTCGTTTGCAGAGGTTATTATAAATTGACAACGCATGTAGAAATCCTCTTTTTCATTTTCATTTAATCTATCAATATTCTGAAGTACGCGAACAGCAATATATGTGTGTTTCAAATCAATAAACCGACTAGCATTATTGTTGATCCATTTTAGATACATATTTCGGTTTTATGAACATAATTTGATTGTCAATACGAGTAGCTTAATAAAATGTCTTTATATGTGCCACAAACGACATCATAAACGTATGCACTTTGAGAGTACTCATTTAATTTTACAAATTTTGGTAAAATCCAGTGAAGAAAAGAAGTGCTGTTTCCAAATAACGTTGCAATTTTTTCACGCAGTCTAATGCCTCCTTAGTTGTCACTGGAAGCTCTTCTTCATTGTTGTTTTCTAGTTCGTCTTCATGTTTGTTATCAACCAAATTGGAGTCTGACAATTCCTGTGTTGCTATTAAATTATTGTCAACATTTACATACTCATTAAATTTGTCTATATTCAATAAACTATTAATTTTCAGTAAATGGCATTTAATCTTCTGGATTAAAATGGTTGACTATTTCAGTTATGTTTTCCACTAAACCAGCATGGCGAAAACAATTACAAATCGTTTCTGGAGTAACCAATTCCCATGCAATAGTAAGCAAATTTCTAGCATCTAAAATAGTGACAGCTTTGGTAAAATTGTCATCTTCTTGAAGCTCCATAATTTTCATCAACATTTGTTTAAGACTCCAAATGACACCCTGGTCCATTGGTTGCAGAACTGATGTCACATTGGGTAGAAGAAATTGAAGGTTTATGTTATTAAGTGAAATATTTGGAAGACCGGAGCAGTTATCGACCGAGAACAAAATTTTACGATTCTTCTTAACAAGTTCAGCGTCCCACTTTTTTAAATATTCTTCAAAAATTGATGAAGTCATCCAAGCTTTATTATTTTCAACATAATCGGAGTTGTGGAAAAATAGGTGGTAGCGGCAACAGTGCGTGGTCCACGTTGCTCGAGGGACAAGAAGGTGGAAGAGGGGGGACGGACGAAGGAGTTCCGGCAAGGAACGGTCAGCGAGACGCGCGCGCCAGAAGGCGGCAACATATTTTTATGATTAATTAATTAATCCTGTATGTTGGAATTAAGATTCCCATACTTCCAATACGTTTGTATAGTCTGTGGTTCAGTGAATACAGTGTCTCACAACTTAATCGTGGTATTATTGTCTCAGCCTTTACCCTACCGTTGATGATAAAGAGTCTTCCCAGGAACACCTGAGGAATGTTACAAGTTTGGATCCGATTTTGACTGAAGAATAACTATCACAAGTTTTATTGTGTATAAATGAGTGACTCTTGTCAATGGATGATAAACAGAATTACGCCCGAAATTACGTTACGTGCATGTTTTCAATACTTCAAAGTTATGACGTCATATGAAGACATGCGAGTCGATAGTGCCGTATTTGATACTAGCCCATAATACAGTAAACTAGCAAAGTGTTAACAAAAGAATAAAACAATAACAAGCACGACAAAACGTGCGAAATTATTTGAGGTCGATTGTGATGTAACAAAATAGGATGCGATGCGGCTTTCACTTCGAGCAAATTATCCAAGTTTATCAGTCGACCGTTCTATAACAATGAATCAAGCGATTGCTAATCTAGTAAACTGAAAAATATTCAGTTGAATGGTAATGAACTGTAGCATTGAAAGATCTGAATATGTTTAATACGTTAATGAATTTTCTTAAGTTGTAGTATCGAAGGTTGCTAAATAGGAGGCAACACTGCATGGAAAGCTGGCAAGTCGGTTGTCATTGGATGTGTGTATTTTGATGAGGCAGAACGGCAAGCGTGCTTCCAGGAGGGGCAATGGTGTAAGGCTCCCTTTAGACAACGATTATTCGCTATGTGCGAAGTGGTGGTGGGGACCGTTAAATCGACCGCAGCGCGCGATGTGGCCGAGTTTTGAAATAAGCCGGGATTGACTTGTGTCAAATTGTTATATTTTATACAATTCCCCACTAAATTTGTTAAATATTTTTATGTATAAACGTTCTAATTGTCGAAATAAACTGTAAAAACAATGTGGAAATATACGGTTCTCAGAGCAACATGGAAATTAAAGGACATATGACTGCGGTAAAGAGGAAGAAGAACATAACTTAGTATCTTATTAATGAATATACTCTAGGTTTACTGTGTGCATAAGTTACAATAAAATAAACATTTAAACAATTAATATAGGGTGACGTGAAGCTAACTTGAAAATAAAATAAATTTATTCAAGTAGGTAGGTACGTTAAATGATGTTTTGAAACAAGTTTTCTATCCAGACCTTTGTCTTGTCATCGGAACTTTTATTAAGCATATTTATCCGTTCGTCCTAATCTCTTCAACGTCTTTCATATGCTGTGCTTCCTTTTTGAGTAGTTTGAGGTCGGAAGTTTAAATGATATTTGCAATTCATTTAAATCCAGTACGTATGATCACATTCATTTTTTGTTAAAGTAGGCAAATTACTTGTTTTTTATAATGCGCTACCACCTTTTCAAATTATTTCATTTGGTTTTAATTAATTCCACTGAAAAGTAAGCCGAAAATTGTGATCAAAACATCTACTTGCCAAGAATTAACAGATCCAGAGTCCCGAACAACAATGGTCATCGCGCAGTTTCTATTTACCTGCACACGTTAACTTAACGGCTTACCTTTAAGAGAACATCACAATAGCCGACCAGCCTGTTTCATAATCTACGAGGGATATCTGTTTTCTAGTTTTGCATATAGAAACATAGTAGGCCGCGCGGATCGAACGTCAGTACTGAATCTTAACCTCACTCTTTAGTAAACTTAAATTCAAAGTTTCACAACAATACGTTGCAGTGTTCTCACTACAGTGAATTTTCAAGTGTCACTAAGTCATTAGAAAAATGGAACTCAACCGAGAACATTTTCGCGCCATAATTTATTACAACTTTCAGAGTCAAATAACGCAACAAGAATGCCTTGCTGAGTTACTGTCTGTTTTAGGCAACGAAGCGCCACATCAGTCGACAATTTCCCGTTGGTATGGAGAATTCAAACGTGGACGGGAGAGTCTTAGCGACGATCCCAGGGTGGGTGCACAAAAAACGGCAATCACCCTGGAAAACGTCGATGCTGTGCGCAAACTCATCATTGAAGATAGACATGTGACATATAGCGAGATTGAGGCGTCCTTGAAGATTTTAAAGATCTCAATTCAAAAAATTTTACATGAATAATTAGGAGTAAGAAAATTAGTTTCTCGTTGGATACCCTACCTGTTGACTGAAGAGCAGAAAGCAGCCAGGGTGAAAAAACGCTTGACCGTTTCAATTCCGGAAACTCAAAAAATGTGCACAGCATTGTTAGTGGTGATGAATCGTGGATTTACTCTTACGAACCAGTAAATAAACGACAGTTTGGGTGTTTCAAGGTGAACAAAAGCCAACAAAAGTCATTCGTTCTCGAAGTGTTTCGAAAAAGATGGTCGCGACATTTGTGCCAAAAGCGAGTCATATTGCAACAATTCCTCTTAATGAACAAAGAACTGTTACTGCGAATTGGTATACCACCATTTGTTTGCCAAAAGTCATCACCGAGCTACGAAAAATCTACCCCGAAAGAAGAATCATCCTCCATCAAGACAATGCAAGCTCGCACACAGCCCAAAAAGCAAGGCAGTATTTAACGGAAGAAAACGTGGAATTATTGGACCATCCTCCATATAGTCCCGATCTAAGTCCTAACGGTTTCTTTACTTTCCCGAAAATCAAAAACAGAATGCGTTGTCAAAGGTTCCAGTCACCAGAAGCAGCAGCAGATCTCCACATATCAATGGTTCGCCAAGCTGATTTTCATCCTCATCCTTTACGATGAAAGTGACAGAAAGATCCCTACGTCTCTGCCTCATAACTGCTCGACATTTTTCTCTGTACACTGATAAATGAGATAAAGATTGGCCATAGCGGAGAAGTCAGAGCATACAATATTTTGCCGCCAGTGATGTTACTTCTCACTAGTCTGTTAACTCTGATAATGTAGTATGTAGTAGAATGTTTCCTTACGTAATTTGAATGCAAGCTGCATAAAAATCGTAATCAAGCTATTAAAATGCATATTGGAATTGATTCTCCAGTGGTGACTCTTGTCTAGTTGGGTGATACGAGTGTAAAATTCAATATTAAATTAGCCATGAGCCAATTACGAGTGTCTAGAGATTGATTCGCGCTTTATGTTGTTGAAGACTTGATTAAAATTGGATAAGGTCTCATGAAGGTGTTTTGCCAATGAAAGTTGCTCTGTTGGCTGAAGAAACATATCTTAGACCAAAGAACTTATCTGAATACAGTGAATTGTCTGTCAGGATGAAATCCTATAATATTTACACGATAGTTCAACACATGTCGAAACATGACAACCAGTAAGAGCTGATTATCTAGTGACAATCAGGAGGGTGTAAGTAGCGTACAAGATTGCTCCGAACACTAATGGCATCTGTCAGTTTCATTTGATAACGTTACCTATAGGTTATGATTTGTTTATTCCATAGTTGCTCTTCCTCATCCTCGGAACGGGTATCATGTAAAAAACCTATAAAACGTCACAAAAAACCTATAAGATGTCAACTTGCAGACTAGGTAGTTTTTAGGGCGCAAACAGTCATTCCACGTTTGTTCACTAGGATCGTTCCATCTATGGAGGAATCACTCAACTAAACTACACGCATTATTGGTTGCATAGTTTTGTGAGGCTGAGTGATCAGGGTCTGTAGTTTTTATCTCTGAGAAGAAAGTTGGTTGTATAGCAAGATCGCATCTGGATGATTATGTGTATTGGTCTGCATGTGTATAAAATCGGTTATACAGGGTGCGGCAGAGAGGACGGACGTTTTTGGTACTCTCCGTCTCCGTCTACGAGAGAGGTGGGGAGGGTACCGTTTGACTCGTGAGATCCTAGCATTATTTTACCAGTTGTCGTTATGGAGTCTTGGACGGTGGAGCACCGCGTTTTCGCCTATGATTGTTTCGTCCGAAATAATGAGTCAGTCATCGTCGTACAACGTGAGTTTCGTCGCCAGTTCAACATTCATCGGAATGGAGTTCGCAGTCCGAGTCGATCTGCCCGGAAACATGCTGCTGCACTTCGCCTTAGTGATCGTTGGGTAAGGCCAATTTTGCATATGGATCTCCGCTTTCACCCGTACAAATTGGCCATTGTGCAACAGTTACAGCCCGGAGATTATGCACAACGAATGAACTTCGTACGTGAGATGGAAGCACTGATCGATCAAAATGAGAACCTCAAGGCTAGAGTGTACGCGAACAAGCCACGAACTCTGGACGAATTGAAGGGCGAAATTCGCGTGGAAGTCGCAAAAGTTGAGAGAGCGATGTTGGAGAGAGTCTACGCGAACTTCCAAGAACGCCTCCAGCACTGCATCAACGATTTCGGCCACCACATGCCTGATGTGATTTTCCACACTTGACTGCCTCAAATGCTATTTCCTTGTGAACCTGATTCCATCAATAAATTTGTTTTCGAGTAAAAGTTAACTATTTTATGATTTTTTTAAAACCGTCCATCCTCTCTGCCGCACCCTGTATTTGCTGTGTGGGAAAATCATTACTGAATATGCCGAATATGACGGGTTATTTATATGTTGTGCTTTCTGACAAGAGGTTATGTTCAAAGTTATAAATTAAGAAAAACTGAGGAGAATTTCGGGAAATCATCACCGCGCCCACGTTGTCTGTTAGGATCTATATGGCTTTTAATTCGACAGTGCACAGTGAATATAACTGTTTCTTATCTCTCATTTTTGAAATTCAGCTAATTTGTATATGTAATTTGCAGAATGGATAAGAAAAAGTGGATGCGCAACTAACTTCTAGCTTTGAATCTCAATTAAGTGTATTTGAGACAAGAACCCAATGTAATTATCATCAATACATACAACTTACAGATTAGACCTCCAGTAATGCCATCTCAGAAGCAGATTTTACATCACATCAGAGCGAAAGATTCATAACAAGCCTCATGACGTTTAGGCAATACGTACAACGAAGTGCTAAGTTAACATCTTGTAGAATAGCCTACATAATGTCAAAAAAAACAGCATAATGTCAAAAAAATCGGCATAATGTCACGTTTCAAGATAAGTGATACCCGTGCGAATTGCAAGCGTCACTGATCAGAATTCTGTAAACAGTTTTAGTTTCGTTTGCTCTGAGTAGGGTTAACAGTGGTACCAGGAATCATCTGTAGTGTAGCTAATATGTGGTGACAATCAAAATATTCCATATGATTCAGTCATACAGGTATACCTTTTACTGCTTCATATTTCCTAGCGACACTGACGCTTTTGTGTGTGTATTTTGCATAAACTAATTAACACAAGGGTGCACTTGAGTAGATGTCGAAATCTGTTGAATTATCGTAATCCATATCCAGTTTTTAGAGTAAAAGCAGATCTTTTATAAAAAACCAGGAAGGTCTCCAGATAGGATAAAATTTTGTTGACCTAAGATTTCGCTTGCCTTTTATTTTCAGCTTTAGTAAATACTCTTTACCCCCTTTAAAAATTAATAAAAAGATGAGGCCATTGGACCCTTGATTATCATAAAGTTTCCACGATGAGAATTTTTGAATTTATTTAATTTTCGTTCAAGGCGACAAAGGTACTCTTACGTTAAATGTATTTATTGATCGTGGTAGGTCTAAATAACTGTTGCGTTACTGCAGGCTGCAATTAACTCTAATCGTGATTTATTTTAATCTCGATGATATATCTGCTCTCATTTTTCTATAATAATATACAATTTTTTCAATCATCAAAAAAATTATATATAAACACTCCCATACCTTTTAAAATATTGCGATTATCCTACTTTTTCAGTTGTTACAATTTTGTAGTAGATACGAGTACAAGGTTAATCTTTCCGTTTCAAACCCCCCCCCCACATATTATAATCGAGGTATTTTTTGTCTACCGGTCAAACAATATTCTCTGTCACCGAGTAGTATCAGTAACCGTGAGATTAATTTAAGGATAAATAATTGGGGAAGTAAGATTAGAAAATTGGTTCCTTTATAACACAGGCCAAGATTTTCATGCAGAAACCAGAGTGTATTTTCCCGAAGGTGTTTGATGCGCTGAATCCGAATCCGTGGTCCAAATCTCTCAGTTGGTTCTAGTTTCCGAGGTACAACAACCTAAGGTGCAGAAATAGTGATTTTTGCCTGGATTTGAGATTATGTAGCGTTACGAATTAATTTTTTTTTCAAGAAACCATATACTTCATATCAAAGTACAAGCGTTGCCCTTTCAAATGCCCTTGAGTTTGCTTGAATATATGTTTCTTTCGCTGAGGTATGGCACTTTGAAATTTACATTTTTCTGATCTAGATCAATTCAGTTACGTTCAGAAAGCATTTTTTTAAAGTGTTTTATTGGACGTGAGAACGTTAAACTCAGCCTTGAAAGTTGTGGTTTGGTTTAAAAGATATCAAAAATTTTATAACAAAACAACGTGTATTTTTATGAAATACGACCTGTCACCTGTAAAACCCATAAATACATAAAATATCTAAAACTTACCCAAACAACCTAGCCGATGCCGAGTTTAACAATTGCGCACTTTATTGGAAATAAAGAATTACTTTCCTCTGATAGAAGCTGAACCGATCTAGATCAGAAAAATGAAAATTTCAAAGTGCCATCTAGGCGAAAGAAAAATATATTCAAGCATAATGAACGGCATTTGGGAGTGCAAGGCTTGTACTTTGAGATGATGTCTATAATCATTGAGAAAAAAATAATTCGCAATGACGTAACCTCAAATATTGGCAAACAACGTTATTTTTGCACATTTAGATTGGTGTATATTTGAAATTAGAACCAATTGAGATACAGGGTCCGTCAGAAAGAACGCATGTTTTTCGAATGGGAACTACATCGAGTGGGCTGGTCCCGTGTCGGTGAGGAAGGGCGGTTTCAGTTGGCCAAGATGGTATGGAACGTTGAGCATCGTGTGTCCACCGTACGTCGGTACTTTCAAAATGGCGAGTCTGCCATTCGAACGCAACGTGAGTTTCGCGTTCACTTTGCTGTTCCACGTCGTGGGACAGTACCGGACCGTAACACCATTTTGAGATGGGTGGAAGCATTCAACACAAAATTGTAATGTGATGAAGAAAAAACCGCCAGTGCGAAACCGTACTGTTAGAACCCCCGAAAACGTAGGCAGAGTGAGAGTTGTCACGCTGCAAAGCCCGAATCGTTCCGTCCGTTTCCGTGTCAGATCCCTAGAGATCCACGTGTCCTCTGTACGTCTCATCTTGAAGAAGGAATTAGTGTTCCATCCTCACAAAATCCAAGTTTGTCAATAACTGTTGCCAGGGGATTATGCACAACGTGTTAATCTTGCACAGCTCATGATTGAACAGTTGGATAACAATGGCATGACGTTGTTTATGAGTGATGAAGCACATTTTCATTTACATGATACCTCAATAAACCAAATTGTCGATATTGGTCTCCAGTGGACCACCAACAGTTGCACGAGCACCCCCTGCATACCCCGAAAGTTACAGTTTGGTGTGCAGTAGGCCCAACGATGATTATTGGCCCTTATTTTTTTGAGGATGATGGAGAAACAGCTAGTGTGAATTCTGAACCTTACATCCACATGCTGAACATTTTTTTTTCCGGAACTTCGACGTCGACGTGTCCGTCTCAGAAAATTGTGGTTCCAAATAGACGGGGAAACATCTGACACAGCTCGCACTTCGATGGAACTTCTTCGGCAAAAATTCCCAGGACGTCTCATTTCACGTCATGGCGATATTCCATGGCCCCCTCGCTCCCCGGACCTGTCAACGTGTGATTTTTTATGAGGCTACCTGAAATCAAAAGTTTACAGCAAGCCTCGGATCCT